GTAAAGTTACACTTGACATGTTTTGAACCCTGTAAGTCAAAAGTAGGAAGGCCAGCAACCCACGCTACTGGTATAATTTTTCAAACAGCTGTCAAAAACGACATTAGGACTTTAAGGTCCAAAGTCCCAAATTAAAGCTAGGTGATTGGAGCAGTGAGAATTATGGTTAACTCCCCAAATTCGAATTGTTCTGATCAGCTGTAATTAGTGTAGTAACTTGGAGACGGAGCTGAAGCTGTGAAGATTTCTTGCTTCAAAGCAGAGTCAGTCTGCTAAAGGAGTCTCTGAACGACTCTCCAAGTGTACAGTCGAAAAATTAGCGTCACTGGCAGTTGGGTTTAAAAGTCAAAGTTAAAACAGAATTATGTTTAAGTGTGTTACGGGAACAACCTCAGAATAACTCTGCAAAATTTAATGTGAATCTTACTTTGGCTTAAAAGTTGTTTATGTGAAAGTGTAATTACTCCTATGTGTTGTGCTAAAAGAAGCAGTCGCTAAATAACTAGCCAGGGATCCGGTCGCAAAACTTTGAGGGATTCCAAGTTGGTTTAAGGGATTAAGGACAAGTGCTGTTACATGTATATCAAGATCTGCTCATAAAATAGTCTGTGGTAGTGCCTAGCTATAAACACTCTTATCTTTCCCGCTGACGAGAGGCCGGTATGCACCCTGAGACAGAATCTCATCGCTCTAGTGCGAATGCGGTACCCATCACCTGTAGTTTCCGGTTCATCCCCCCTTTTTCCTGAAAAGTAAGCCTGTATAGTATGCTTACTGGCGCCCAGCATTCAGGTAACCCATACCTCGCAAACAATTATCCACAACCACAAGAAAAAGGTGACAGAACTGGATAAGAAGGACACAGCAGCAACCTGCAAACTCGGGAGTACCAACAGGTGAGAGGGAACGGCTAGAGGAGCAGCTGCAACAAGCAACCAAGGGACCAAAAGGATGGTAAGAGAAGGAAGGTGGCACCAACATAAGGGCTGGACGGTTACAAAACAATCTTCTTAACAACACTCCTCACTACACTTTTATGCACCACTATTGCCACACCTCTTTCAGCCCGTTCACCTCCAGAATAATACACTGTATAATCACCACTTCTTATTTCACCTTGTCGTTTCCACTGCACTTTGCTGACACCTAAAACAGACACCTCATTCTTCTGCATTTCCGTTTTCAAATTCTCCAATTTTCCTGCTTGTTCAAGGTCCTTACATTCCATGTTCCAATCTTGTAGCCGTGATGTTCCTTCTGATCTTCACACTTTTTCTTGTCGTAACACCTGCATGACATTTCCTCTAGAAACACTCCCCACCGGAGATCCGATTGTAGGAGTAGTTTACCTCGTGATTGTTTTGTCTCCAGAGGAAACATCTCGTATACATGGTATCTCTGTTTATGGAAAGACTCTATCCAGGAAAAGTGATAATGTGGTAGTTTTTCCATTTGCTTTCCACATCGCAGTACAACAGCCGTTCAAACCACTTTGGTCATGCCTGTTGCTATACGAGAACCATCTCGAGCATCATTTGCTCTGTGCTTCAAGTCGCTGCTGATGACACTGCTTCTGGCATAAGTTTTTTGTTTTTGATGTCTCTTCGTCTGATGCCTACCCTTTGACCTGTCCAGCCAGGGAGGCCCTGCCAGTAGCTACGCTACCACTGGTATAGCTCTCAGGGTCCTTGGCATACTCAAACCCCCTCAGCAGGATAAGGTGGAGACACCAACGAGGGGGAGATTTGATGTACTATGTATAATTATAATGTTTTATTAGAATCTTCATCTATACTATGGATGAATCTCTATTGCCCTGTTTTATGGTTTGCCATCACTGATCAGCAGGGCTGGAAAATCCGTAGGGACTTGGATGAGTTAAAATTTCATGTTGGTACTGTACTGCAGTAACAAGGGGGGGGGGGCTAAGGAAACGGCTAAATTACTTCCTCGATCGTTGCTTCATTGGCTAGGGGCACACAGTTCACAGGGCTTGTCAGGGGGGCACAGGTGCGAAATGCGGTACGAGAGAAAATCACATTAACAAAACTCCACATTCTCACCCTATACTACCCTATATTGGTTATAAACAAACAATATACAGCTATATACATTATACAGAGCCGACTGTTGTCGGATTACATATTACACTTTCCTAGGCGATTCTCTGGCCCTCATCTTTGCCTTCCTTTCACCCAGTTGCGGGTTGCTAGTCTCCTCTTTCTCCTCTGCTACTCATCATGTATCTCTACTACACCTCACTCATCGCATATATATATACATATATCTTTACACATCCCTGCATCTAGACACACCCCCTGCAGTCTCTATGTTACACATGTCTACCTCTGCATCCCTCTGATGAGTCACTCTTACGCCCTGTTCACTTGTCATAACGTTTCTAACTCGTGTCCCACTAGAGAAGTTACACTTTAATAATATCACAATTAAATAGCATGGCGATAAGAGTAGTTCCACTTACTTTGCGTTGAGACTGTAGACGGATGGCGTTGTTCGGCATCCAGTCGATGCCTCTTCCAGCATAGCCTCTGGCTAAAACTGCCCAGAATTACTGTTGAATAGTTCCCTTAATAATTCACTCCCCGGGTTATATACCTTTATTCTTGCTAACTCGTTACTTTCCCGGAGGGTGCAAGTCCGCCTACAATGATGTTATGTCCCAAGTGGCTAGCTCTCGTTGGCTGGGATCCTTAGTGGTGGACATGTCCCCTTGTGGCTAGTCCATTTGGCTAAGCGCTTTTACCTGCAAACGTTCCCCCATCCTCAAGTGTAGATTCTGTAGAGCCAGCATTTTGATATACCTTTAACGTCATTATGCTGACATGGCATCGATGCGTCTCGGGCTAATATCCATCTAATTCCATACATAGAAATTCCTTGAAGTTTCTTAACCCTTCTCTACATTCTCTTTCATATATCTTACAGCATTTCCCAAATACTTATTCTATTCTAGCCAACATTTTCCCCTAAAATAAAAAATTAAATACACTTTTAACATGTTCCCGGGAGTCGGCCTTCAGGGCACAACAGGTACCTAAAATCTTAATTGCATTGCTTTTTCCTGAAAGTTAACATACTGCTGTGGACCAAGTGCACTAACCAGTATTGTGCTCATATGTGTATATTTTTTGTGGTCTGTTCAACACATGAAGATGTCCCTATACAGGATGCACTGAGAGATACATACAAAATGAGAAGAGGCTACAGAAACTGAAATCTTTTAGACTCCTCATTATAAGTCACTTCATCAAATGTATCTTGTAGGTATTCAGGCAGCTGTCTCATCAGAAAAACAATCTCTCAGTCAGCATTGTGCATCAATAAAGGTGGGACATATATCTAGCATTTCTGTGAAAGATTATTTTTAAGAAATGCAGTTGTATGGCCTTGGTGAAAGAACTCACAAAACATTTTCAGTTGACAATAGCTGTATGAAGGAGTTATGCTGTGTCATATTGGAATGATTTCTGCAAATGGAGATGATTTGTCACTTGCTACTTCAGTGTCTGGTGAAGACTTGAAAACCAGCAAGTAAAACACATAATGTGATGGAAAAAGCGTTTTTAAATAATCAGACTCTATAATCAGTCAATATAATATTTGCCTAGAAAGCAGAATATGGATATGATTCTCCCAGATTCAAAACGTGAGTTTCTTTTGAAGAGTTTGGAAAATATATGAAACAGCATGAGTCAAAGATGTTAAAACTTAATTTTTCATGAGAGATTTATGTATATTAAAATAATGAAAATCCATTACATTTTACCTGGACCCAAAACCAACTTCGGCTGATTCCTGATAGGAAGCGCAGAGCCAGAAGGTTTACTGCTCCTTTTAGAACAGCCTCTCCCCACACAGGATTCTTTTCTATGGCAGTTTAATCCAGTCCACATCATCACAAGTTGTTTCTTCAAGATCTACTTGATTATTATACTCATATGGATACCTAGGCCTCCCAAGTGATCTCTGCCCTTTGGGTAAAGATAAAAGGTGCAGTTATGCCTGTGCTAAATTAATTTAGCGCCATGTCATGATGACATAAGTATGTTGTCAGCTTCACACCCTGGTCGCTTTACCTTTGGGGAAAGAGCACCCGGTAAACATTGCGTAGGAGGCTGGTTGTGTCCCAGAGCCAGTCTGGATGCTGTGGAGCACAGAAAAGTCCCTTGCATGTGTGGAAATTGAACCCCAGCCATCCAGTCTATTACTATACTGACTAAGCTATTTTTGGTTGTGTAGTGAAATATTATGTATATCAAAGAGAGTATCTTTTCACCTTTGTTTGAGATGACCTCTATTATTCTTCAATTTGTTAATGTTGTGTATTGTTCTGCTTGATTAACACACATTATAATGACAACCTGCTCCTCTGTTTATGGCCGTGCTTTGGTTACTTTCATTTTTAATTTTTGATGCTGATTAGGCAATGTAAACTTACATCAGTAATATACAGCCTTTGAACAGAGATAAACAGGCAGGGAGTAATGATAGTAATTCTTATATGAAAATGTATTTACATATGGCACCCAATGGGAGTACAATTGTTTATTTCTATGAATACATTTATAAAGGATATATTTTAATATTTCGACGATTATGATATAGAGAGTACTCTTTATTAGTTGAAAGTATGTCCTGAACTGATTCTAGTGGGCACATGTATTGCGTGTGAAGCAGTTTGGAAATATCCATGTTATTGGCGTGATATGAGTGAAGTGATATTAAACTCAGTGTCAAAAAAAACAATGGAGTAAGAACCTGTGTAATAGAAGAAATCAGCTTGAAGAGTTATGTATTGCTACAGCGAACTAGCGGTTCAAGGGGGGTGGGAGCACTACGCATAGGCCGGTGCTATGATAGCATGCCTTTTTACTGATCGCGCTTTCGGAACTGGCAGCGGCCAATATGTAACAATATACTCGTATCTGCGTAGAGATGGCAGAAGTAATGCTATGGTGATGTCACGGCGGCCATAATGCCCGCCAATAGCATTGGTTTGGAATCGGGCTAATTGCTTGTGTGTTTGGTAAATTATTGAGATGTTGTCGTTGGCGTCGTTGGAGTGTGTGGTTTAAAATGTAATAAGTGGTTGCCTTCCAGGTTGACGTATTGTACGATCTTTCAGTGTTGTACAAAAGCTACTATAGCGTAATATCCGGATCATCCGGATAGTCTGTTGTAATCACTGCACTATCGGCACATTCTGATTGTTTTTATGTACTTAAGGGGAGGTTATTTTTTCATTTTTATATTTAATTACGTTTATTCAAAAGCCCACGCAGCGACGTTTTTCGTGAAATAAAAGCTGGGTTTATGGAAGTCTGCCTTTGAGAAGTATGAGCTTGGGAATTATGGTGTACTCGGCACGGTGCTCAGGAGTCCCAGAAGCAAAACCTGTGAACGAGAAGCCCTTGAAAGCGAAAGGTGAATCACCGCCACTTAAGTCAGAACATGAAAAGAATGAGATATCAGATCCAGTTGACTGGGGCTATGACTTGTATCCAGAAAGACGCGGGGAAAAGTACAAACCAAGCTGGACGAAAATGATTTTTCATGGTGAAGGAAGAGAAAATTTGGACAAATTAAGATGTGAAGAAAATGTCTACAATTGTGTGAAAAATAGTACGTAATTATGTTGGTGTAGATGGGCTACCTATGTTTATGGTATATTGGCAGTTCAAATTGGCTTCAGATTGCAAGTGGTGATGTCTCATTTGCAAACATTGCACAAGAACGACTTAGGCTCACGGAGGTAGAATACAGGAAATATAGTTTGCGTTTGAATCACTGGAATTATATGTTAATAAGGTTGAATTTGCCATTTTGATGCAAAAATAGAACTTCTTTTTTAATGTTCAGTGTCTTCTGAAACCAGGTGTGACATTGAAAATAATTACCAGAACATATTCAAAGTAAAAGAACTCAGCATTCATAAGAATAAAGAATGTACCAATATGGGTAGCCAAACTGCATCGTAGTGTGAATTATGTTACGATACTGAGCTCCACCAAAAAACTTCCCACACTTCTTGGTTATAATCAATAGATGATGTAGAATTTATTTTGTACATGTAGACAAAGGATAAGATTGTTTTTTTTTTCTGCTCAGTGTTTTATTTGCAGTGTGAAGTAATATGTGCTATCCATAGTCAGTTGCACAGTGTAATTCTTCAACTTCAATAGCAATGGGAGACATGCAGTAAATAAAAAAAATGAAATGTTTCCATTCTTTGTGTCGACACAATGGGCGACCTTCATTTACTATTATTTGGGTGAATTCTCCATGTGCACATCAACCCTATTCAACATTTGCATGTCACCCTACCACAGGATGGTGCAATGCCCCCAAAATGGTCATCTCCCAACAAAACACTGTGGAAACCAAAGACTGATAACACTATTAATTTGTGATGCAGTACTTCTGTTATTATACATGAAAATTTTTTATGTGGTGTTAAACATATATTGTATGGTAATATGTAATAAGGTGCAGAGGTAAGTACAAAAGTTACTTCTTGTTGGTATTTGTTCTTAAGTGATTACACTGCACTGAATGTGAAGTGTCAGACTCTTCTACATGTTGGTTTGGTACAATTTTGTTAGGGTTTTTTTGTTAATTACCAGAATTCAGAATTGTGAAGTATTTGTGATGACCATTGATTGTGCCTCTGTGGATATAGTCTTTCAGAACTATGAATGAGTAAATTTTAACAAGTCACATGTTTTCTGTCACAGCACAACACTTCTCAGTACTACCATTCACATATCAACTGTGCATAGTGAGTTAATTGATCTTGATTGCTACATATCCCTTTTGTTACTTAAGCTCAAAACTTCATAAAGTCTGTTACATGATAAAATCCCTCATGGATGTAACAAGCCGACAGGTTATAAGGAGTATTTACTTTGCTCACTTCCATGCTTATTTGAAGTATGGTTTAATTTTCTTGGGTAGTGACCCAAAAAGTAAAATTATATTTAAATTGCAGAAACGAATTGTTAGAATAATTAGCAGTGTGAGTAGATTAGCATCATGTACACAACTTTCTAAGGATTTAAACTTACTCCCACTACCTTGTGTGTATATATTTGGAATAGTATGCCATGTTAAACTACATTTAGAAAAGTTAGAACAAAATAACGTAGTTTATAATCACAATACATGCCAGAAGTTAAATTTCAATGCTCAATTATGCAGAACAAATGCCTATAAGGAAGGAGTACTGAACATGGGAATAAAATTATACAATAAAATACCAAATAAAATTAGGGAGATAGAAAAAATGAAACAGTTTAAAAAAGTAATGAGGTCATATTTGGTACAACATACGTTTTATTCTGTAGAGGAATATATGTTAAATTAAAGACGGTATGTTTGTGAAAGGGGGGTATTTATTTTGAATTACAGAAATTGAACTGGTGTATGTTTAATGTGTATGGAACGTTTTCCTATGACAGTGATTTGACGAAGAAAGAAGAATGGATTAATTGATGTGAAATGGATTGAATTGGTTACTCTTTTGGGGAAATTATGTTGTCTTAAATTTTTAATATTGTTTTATATGGTATGTCGAACATGTACACAATTTGTGTATGTAGTTAAATATTATAAGTATTGTTGACTTTTATACAAATAATTGGACTTGTTCTATATTTGGACGTTGTACTGCAAAATGTGGATTTCTGGAACCAATAAAAATATGAATATGAATATGTTTAGCTCATTAAAGAGCCATCATTATGTAGTACACAATAATAAACTACTGAATTGCGTTCTGTATTGATACATATATTACATCATTACACCTATTAATGTATCTGATTATGTACATAGTCAATATATTCAATGTTGTGATAGAATCATTACTATTTCCTTAAACTTATGAAAATCCAATAAAATTCTGTACTAGATGCTTACAAATATTTTTAAAATGGTATAAAATATAACCATTAGTTAATAAAGTTTAAAAATATAGAATTATAAAATACAAATTATTATTATTATGTAGCTGAGCCCTTCTGAGGAGCTGCCAAATCTGCAGCTACTCAAGAATTTCCCAACATTTTATGGAACCCAAAGGTTCATTACCATTTTCAGAAGAGCCCTCCACTGGTCCCTATCCTGAGCCATACCATCCCATCCTATCTCTCTAAGATCCTTATAAAATACACTTAGATGTTTTTTTATCATATACAGCTCTTTCGTTTTCCCCATACTGCCAACAAGAGAAATGAGACGCTGTGAAATTTCAAGTGGGAAGTCCTCAAGCATCCTCTGTATAGCCCCAACCTTGTTCCAAATGACTTCCATTTGTTAAGCCCTCTTAAATCATCTTTCAGCTGAACATTTTCCTGACGATGAAGCTGTAGTAAGGGAAGTCACCGCCTGGTTCCGACAGCAGCCCAAAGAACTTTATGCTGCTGGTTTTCAGGGGCTTGCGAAACGATGGGACAAGTGCCTCAATGTACAGGGAGATTATGTTGAGTAATAAAAGCATTTTTCAAATCAGTACTCTTATTTGTTTAAGTTCTATATTCATTTGTAACTTACGTATTGACTTACCTACGTATATCAAGTAGTAACTTATGAACATTGTTTTGGTTCTAATTTACTTTCTATTTCTTTTTGACTTCCTCTTTGAGGTGATCGCATTGTTGGAACTGATGTTTCGTTTTCAACCTTTTATTTTATGGGGTTTTCTGTGGTCTGATGTTTGGCTTGGTTAAATGTCAGATTACATTTTACAGATATTTATAAGCGTCTAGTAAATAATTGTATTAGATTTTAATAAGTTTAAGGCAGTAGTAATGATTGTATAACAATGTTGAATATATTGAATAGTTGCATAGCCAGATACATTAATAATTGTAACGATGTAATACATGTATCATCAGTATAGAACACAGTTCAGTTGTTTAAGATATTGCTGTTAGTGTGTACTACATGATGCTTGCTGTTTAATGAGCTGAAACATGTAGCATTCAAAATCAATAAACTCACTATGCACAGCTGATATGTGAATGGTAGCACAGAGAAGTGTTGCGCTGTTACAGAAAATATTTGAGTTGTTATATATTAGCACAACAGGATGCATTTGTTGAAGAGTAGCTTTTATTATGAAGTATACAGTTGATTATAATATACATTATAAAGTTGAAATTATTTTAATGGGAAAGATAACATTAACAGTAGAGAAGAGTTGTCATATTTATTGGCTTATTCATGTACCTTCATGTATTATGTGGGAGTAAGGAAATTATTTTATTATCACACTACAGAATCATAAACACTGAAGGGAGAGTAAGCATTCGTGTGCATTCTTGTTGACTTTTGGATACCATTATTATGTTCCATATGTGGTTGTACTTGTAGCAAACAGTGCTGAATTTTGTGTTTCTGACATCCCTTGAAAATGCAAATGCAAACAACACTTGCAGCTAAGAAGGGAACACACATCACAAGACACGGTTTACACATAATATAAGAAAAACGACCCCCATAGTGGAAGAACCACACGCAAGTTTTAATTATGACACATAAGCTGAATAATCTTAACAAGTTTTAGTGGGTGTAAATTTATTATAGTTGACAAATACGCACTTTTTAAATAATTTTGTAAAGGCAAGCAATGAAATAGATTAGCATAATTAGGGCACCTGATGATGGCACTATGTTGCCGAAACATATCGTGAAGTAACAGGTGAAACTGAGTGCACTACAAGACGGCAACTATATACATATCATGGATGAAAATCAGTGCAACAGGACGCTAAAATACGTCTTTATTACTGTTTGATTACTGAGACAATCTGTGGTGATCTTTAATCAGACATGTAAAGAAACTTTGGGTATGTTTTTTGTTTTAAGGAAGGTTTGTTCATGCAGGGGCGCAGATTAGCTTCATATTCTGTATTCTCCATCATCAGATGTGAATTTAAAATAAAACGGTTTGAATGACTAAATAAATTTTTGCTGTCTAAAAACAACATGAAACTAGGTCAAAATGTGAATGTGTACAAAAATTTGAAAGTGTGACCAGTTGATTCATTATGCTATTTTTCCTGACTCGGGCCCTAGTAATCTTCTGTATGGGACTGTTATTGTTTTCAAAATGAGGAGGTGACCTTACTGGGAATGCACCTGTTTCATTAATAAATAATGGTGAATGCTCATTGACTTTTAGACCTTTCAGGTTTATTCTTCTGTTTTTAGGTCCTCTTGTGAAATTAATGCTTGGTGCTCTAAAGAGTTCAGGATGGTAAGTTTTAAAGTGTATTACTTATCAGTAATATCAGAAAGTAATAATGCTTTTCTTTTATACATAGCTTTGTAGATATCTCTTAAATTCAGAGAAATATTACTATATTATTTCATCTTTAGCCATGGATAATTATAATGTATAAAATACTTATGTGCAGTCACAAATCCACATGGCTGCTGGAGCTAGCACAGCAAGATGTGAGCTGAATGTGAAACACACTTCATTGAATTTTCAGTAGCACTGATTGTCATAGTTGAATGATAGAACTCCTGCTCCATATACAGGAGGCTTCACATTCAATCCTCAGACTGAAGAGTAGCTATTATGAGAGATTTTATGTGGTTTTTCCCAGTCTGTTCTGCCAGTCACAGTGAAAGCGTATGTTTGTGTTATCTATAATTTGCCATTTGAACTTTATAATCTCACATGCTTACTTTACAGTGCAGTTGATCTGAGGCGACATATTGCCTGCGAAGTATGCGACCCTTCTGTTAGTGGAGGCTATGATCCATTACTTAATCAGGTAGCGATTTTTGAAGTACATTTATATATTCTGTGTTCTCGTAATTTCATTTATATTAAACCCATTTCAGTGTTCCTCAGTGGATATAAGGCTACATGTTGTCATCACTGTCATTGTTATAATTGTTTTGCCAGGTGGTGGTGTGTCAGAATGTGGCCAGAAACAAGGGAGTTGTTCAAGGTGTTCTAACACATGAGATGATTCATATGTTTGATTATTGTCGTAATACTCTTGATTTCAAGAATGTTGATCACTTAGCGTGTACAGAAATACGAGCTGCAAACCTCACTCATTGTAGTTTTCTGAGTGCCTGGCATCAGGGAGATGCATCACCATTCAGAATACAGCAACAGCATCAGGTATGATAGCAAAAATTGTGCCCAGTAATTTTTCCAATCTAGTCCACAGCACCCAATCCTCTTTCTCTAAGATCCATTTTAATAGTATCCTTTGACTTACTTCTTCCTATTTATCTTGTTCCTGTCTTTTCCACCAAATACCGCTATGTACAGTACATACATGTAGTTAACTAACAAACTTTTGTGACACACAAATTGTGAAAGCCTGTTTTGTGCGAATTTTGTCTCTTCACACGCTGGTAACTACATTTTATGCCATGTATAGGTGCCCGTATTTGGATAGTATGGTCTCTTTAACTTATGCTCCTTGTACTGTATTCTGTGTGAGTGTTCCTCACTACTGTTATATTGTTGTGTGATTACATTTGTTGTGATTTGATTGAGAATGTGATCCTAATTGAAATGAGTTGACCTAATGGTGAAACAAAATCTTAGGTTCATTAGAAGGAAAGAAAATAGTAAATAAGCTGATTTTGCATTATGGTGTTAAATGTTTGATATGTGTTAGTTTCCATGCCCTAACACGTGATCTCATGAAAAGTTACACTTACTGCCAGAATAGATATTATTTCAGTGAGTTCTCTCTTGAAAAGCTGTTTAAAAGCGTCCACATTTTCACTTGTGTTTTTGTGCTTCTTGAGAGCCGACAAATTCCTGGAACTTTAGGATCAGACCTCATATGTCAAGCGGCTGATTTGTAATGCTGTAGGGTCAGGAACAACCAAGAATAGATTTTCTTGTAATTCCCTATATGAAAACAACACTGCACACCATACATATGACAGAGTAAGCCTATTAGAATTGGTTGAATTTATGACCCATGTACAAAATTGTAGACAGTTTCTGTTCTGATATCTAGTGGTCCTAATTCATGTAGTTGCAGAATCATCAAGGGAACTGGAAAGGCTGTCAGCGTAAAGAGGTGTAATGAATTACGTGTTAGAGCCCCCCCCCCAAGATATGCCCTGTGTACTGTGTGAATTCAGAAATAAAACTAGCCGTGCATGAAAAAGAAAGTTCATAGCTTCTGCTTTTTTGTGTCAAAATTCTTCTTGCCCCCATTATTCAGTAGCAGACAAAACAAAAAAAGCAGTGCCTAGTGGTTAACAATGTTTGCAAAGAAGATAAAGATGGTAGAAATAATTTGACTGCAAGAGATTACCTAGGTGTTACCATTCCATTATACATATAATGTACAATGGACAGTGATTCATATTACATGAAATCATTGGACTCATATCAGTCAACATCTGTATACCTTCTGATTGGTAAACTGGAAGAAGAGCCATCTACATTTGGTAATACATACTCTGCTTCTGAATTAGTTGGTTTCTTTGATCTTTTATATTTCAGTCATAACTAGGTATACCACTTGCTTTAAGGTTAAATAATGCATCATTTCTCCCACAGAGTTTATTTCTGGGGACTGTTTGGTACTCAGAATAAACAACAGTTGTTACCCTTAACATCATTAACAATCTGATCTTTCTAATGTGGATGTGATGTGTTTTCTTTAAGGTAAGGATCAATTTTAAAATATTTAAACAGCATTGCCCTGGAATGGGTTACATTAATAGTATTTACTTTTGAAAGATGTCCTTTTTATGTAAATTTGTCATTACAGGAGTGTGTGAAAACGAAGGCTCTTCAATCAATACTAACTGTTCGCAGTGTGACAGAAGAGGTGGCTCGAGCTGCTGTGGATCGTGTGTTTAGCAGGTGTTACGCTGATTTAGAGCCTATTGGACGTCGCATCCGCAGGAATTCACCGGACATGCATAAAGCATACCTAGAGGCTCCTTTGTATGGTTATGACTAGTGTTAAGTAGAAAGGCATGATGTTATTTAGGTTGGTATAGAGAATATTAGGTTCCCTTTGTGGTGCTCAACTGTATGCTAGTTGTATGAATTATAACATGTAAATATTGTAACGTGTTTCGTTACTGAATACGCCGTAGAGATGGTTAATTGGTTTATTTAACAATCTACAAATAACGGCTACAATTAATTATCACAACGTTACGGGTTTCCTCAGTTTACAAACCCTACAACAAAATCTCTTAACACTGTCTTCAAGAGTCTTCAAGTATTAATAACGCGAGAGCTATACAAGTCTCCCTGAATTACACACTCCGAGTATAACTGTACTACAGCACTCACTGTGTCTGGAAAGCACACGAAAAGTCTTGCGCTCGCTGACTTCTTAAGTATCGCACACTCACAGGCTGCTATGTTTTAACTCGGCGACTGTTACATTATAACTGACTGTGAATAGCCTTCACTGCTCCTTATGTAGCTTCGATCGGACAGTCGTCGTCTGGTCCTTGTTGCTAGCCACGCTGTCCGGAGTTGTTGACGGCTGCCTAGTAACTGCGATATCCCTTGGTGACGTCACCGCGTTGACTTGCGTTGCCTAGCGACCAGGATGCTAGGACTCGGCTAACATCGGCTCGCTTCGGCTTCGCTCGGCGCATCACGGCTGGCGGTGGGGGGGAGGGGCGTCATTCAGAGTTCAACATGTCACACTCCTCCCTCCTTAAGGCTGTTCGTCTCGAATAGCCTAACGGTGCACCCCCGTTCTTTTTCTGTCCCGTAGCTGTGCTTGCGGTGTCTCCTGTTGTTTCGGCTACTCTTCTTGCAGCGACTATTCTTCGTCCGGTACATCCGCTCCCCTCTTAAGACAAAGCTCGTCTCGAGCGGTTTCCTTTCAGCTCGCCAGAAGATCACAGTCGTGTCCCATTCATCCATCACTTTCTCCCATGGCACATTCACTTTCTATGGGGAGGCCGGTTCTTCTATTTTACCGGCTCCTCTTCTGTGCCCTGCTCCTTTTTTCGTTTTGGAGGGGGTCGACCCCTCCATAAGGTCCACTTCCTTATCCTCTGTAACCTGTGGGCAGAACCGACTACTTGTGTCGCGAACCTTCCACTGAAGATCACGTTGCCGGTCCTCTCCCTCAGGCGTAGTAGTTCCTCCACGTCCTGTTTCCTTATGCCCTTGCTGCATTTCCGTTGTGGCTGACGCCGCCTCCCGGACGTCTGTCCTGTCACGGTTTCAGTCCTTCCTCTCCCGGCCTCTTGCCCAGCATTGACCCTCGTTGAGCATCTCCTTACTGGATCTCCCTTGCGCCGTGTCGCACCTGCACGACTAGTCACATTGCTGTCGGCAGCCAATTCGTGCCATGGGCCACAATTTCCTTGGGTCGTAGATTTCTTGAAGATATGGCGTTTGCGCCATGCCACTGTTGCGCGGCGGGACACCTTCCTGTGGACGACGGCCAACTTCATCTGGGGTCCACGACTTCCCCGAGTCGGATTCTTCATGTTTCGTCGATGTCGGTCCCTGCGCCTTTTCTTCTTCGGTTCTCCGACCGGCATTACTATGGGGACCTCATCTTCTTGTGCCGTGCCCACTACATCCTGTTTTTCGCTTGGACTTGTCTCCATTGCATCTTGGCAGGCTGTCATCTCTTCCTGCCAGGCATTCAGATTGGTTTTCAACCTCTTCTCTCGCATGGCGGCCGTCCTTTCTTGGATGGCTCTTGTAAACTCACCCGGCTGTCAATTGTGGTAATTCCCTTAATCTCCTTGCCATTGTGTTCTTCCACATATGACCTCTGCTCTTGGACTGAATCCACAGGTGCCGAATTCCCATCCTCTGTAAGCCGTTCCGATTTCTGGAAGTTTTTGCCACACGTTTTCGGTGTATTGTACGTGTTCGTTTTAGGCTGAACTTTCTTGTAATTGGGTATTGGATACGTCAAAATAGGACGACCCCTTGGAATCAGGCCCTGCCTCAAGGCCATGCTGGATCCTGGTTTCAAAGTTTCACTGGTTGTATTATTTGGCTCTTGAAAACTCACCCGGCTGTCAATTGTGGTAATTCCCTTAATCTCCTTGCCATTGTGTTCTTCCACATATGACCTCTGCTCTTGGACTGAATCCACAGGTGCCGAATTCCCATCCTCTGTAAGCCGTTCCGATTTCTGGAAGTTTTTGCCACACGTTTTCGGTGTATTGTACGTGTTCGTTTTAGGCTGAACTTTCTTGTAATTGGGTATTGGATACGTCAAAATAGGACGACCCCTTGGAATCAGGCCCTGCCTCAAGGCCATGCTGGATCCTGGTTTCAAAGTTTCACTGGTTGTATTATTTGGCTCTTGAAAACTCACCCGGCTGTCAATTGTGGTAATTCCCTTAATCTCCTTGCCATTGTGTTCTTCCACATATGACCTCTGCTCTTGGACTGAATCCACAGGTGCCGAATTCCCATCCTCTGTAAGCCGTTCCGATTTCTGGAAGTTTTTGCCACACGTTTTCGGTGTATTGTACGTGTTCGTTTTAGGCTGAACTTTCTTGTAATTGGGTATTGGATACGTCAAAATAGGACGACCCCTTGGAATCAGGCCCTGCCTCAAGGCCATGCTGGATCCTGGTTTCAAAGTTTAACTGGTTGTATTATTTGGCTCTTGAAAACTCACCCTGCTGTCAGTTGTGGTTATTCCCTTAATCTCCTTGCCATTGTGTTCTTCCACATATGACCTCTGCTCTTGGACTGAATCCACAGGTGCCGAATTCCCATCCTCTGTAAGCCGTTCCGATTTCTGGAAGTTTTTGCCACACGTTTTCGGTGTATTGTACGTGTTCGTTTTAGGCTGAACTTTCTTGTAATTGGGTATTGGATACGTCAAAATAGGACGACCCCTTGGAATCAGGCCCTGCCTCAAGGCCATGCTGGATCCTGGTTTCAAAGTTTAACTGGTTGTATTATTTGGCTCTTGAAAACTCACCCTGCTGTCAGTTGTGGTTATTCCCTTAATCTCCTTGCCATTGTGTTCTTCCACATATGACCTCTGCTCTTGGACTGAATCCACAGGTGCCGAATTCCCATTCTCTGTAAGCCGTTCCAATTTCTGGAAGTTTTTGCCACACGTTTTCGGTGTATTGTACGTGTTCGTTTAGGCTGAACTTTCTTGTAATTTGGTATTGGATACGTCAAAATAGGACGACCCCTTGGAATCAGGCCCTGCCTCAAGGCCATGCTGGATCCTGGTTTCAAAGTTTCACTGGTTGTATTATTTGGCTCTTGAAAACTCACCCGGCTGTCAATTGTGGTAATTCCCTTAATCTCCTTGCCATTGTGTTCTTCCACATATGACCTCTGCTCTTGGACTGAATCCACAGGTGCCGAATTCCCATCCTCTGTAAGCCGTTCCGATTTCTGGAAGTTTTTGCCACACGTTTTCGGTGTATTGTACGTGTTCGTTTTAGGCTGAACTTTCTTGTAATTGGGTATTGGATACGTCAAAATAGGACGACCCCTTGGAATCAGGCCCTGCCTCAAGGCCATGCTGGATCCTGGTTTCAAAGTTTCACTGGTTGTATTATTTGGCTCTTGAAAACTCACCCGGCTGTCAATTGTGGTAATTCCCTTAATCTCCTTGCCATTGTGTTCTTCCACATATGACCTCTGCTCTTGGACTGAATCCACAGGTGCCGAATTCCCATTCTCTGTAAGCCGTTCCGATTTCTGGAAGTTTTTGCCACACGTTTTCGGTGTATTGTACGTGTTCGTTTAGGCTGAACTTTCTTGTAATTGGGTATTGGATACGTCAAAATAGGACGACCCCTTGGAATCAGGCCCTGCCTCAAGGCCATGCTGGATCCTTGAGTTCGAATCTTGTTAGTCACGTGTGTAGCTCAATCCCACTTCTGATACCAATGTAGCGTATCTTGAGTTCGAATCTTGTCAGTCACGTGTGTAGCTCAATCCCACTTCTGACACCAATGTAACGTGTTTCGTTACTGAATACGCCGTAGAGATGGTTAATTGGTTTATTTAACAATCTACAAATAACGGCTACAATTAATTATCACAACGTTACGGGTTTCCTCAGTTTACAAACCCTACAACAAAATCTCTTAACACTGTCTTCAAGAGTCTTCAAGTATTAATAACGCGAGAGCTATACAAGTCTCCCTGAATTACACACTCCGAGTATAACTGTACTACAGCACTCAGTATGTCTGGAAAGCACACGAAAAGTCTTGCGCTCGCTGACTTCTTAAGTATCGCACACTCGCAGGCTGCTATGTTTCAACTCGGCGACTGTTACATTATAACTGACTGTGAATAGCCTTCGCTGCTCCTTATGTAGCTTCGATCAGACAGTCGTCGTCTGGTCCTTGTTGCTAGCCACGCTGTCCAGAGTTGTTGACGGCTGCCTAGTAACCGCGATATCCCTCGGTGACGTCACCGCGTTGACTTGCGTTGCCTAGCGACCAGGATGCTAGGACTCGGCTAACATCGGCTCGCTTCGGCTTCGCTTGGCGCATCACGGCTGGCAGGGGGGGGGGCGTCATTCAGAGCTCAACATGTCACAATATGTTAAATTATGTAGTGGGTTTTTATAGAGAATAAATTAATAATTTAATTTTTGTTCCTCACATTATTTGTCAACTTCTGATGATGTGTAGTGTCAAGTGAGAGGTGGTAGGGGGGAGAATATGATTGATATATAATCCTGGAATTTGGCCAGTTATATATACTGTGGAAAATCACAGAATGACAGTTCTGCTGGTCAAGATGTGAACTAGAAATCTCTAGATATGTTGATAGAATGGTGTCCACTACAATATCATATAATTTTTGGTGTGAGAAGTTGGAGAGAATTTTGAATAATGTTCTCTGATTTGTTCTAGTGTCACATTGTTTTAACTGACTGGTCTACTTTCATTAATGTGGGGTGTGTTCCTTTTTGATTTGCATTAGCTAGTATAATGGCTGTGAAATGCCACTCATTGGAACTTGAAGTAATTTCTTTGTGGGCATTGATGTAATATTTATATGTGGAAGTTTAGCGATGTGTTTGCATCATTTATTTTGAAATCTTTGAAGTGATTTTACATCATTATTATGACAAAAAGTATTAAGTAATATATCTATAATATGATTTGAGAAGTAAACATTTACTGTAGTTAAATCATGAACCATATGCTTGAAAATCATACTGTGGGGAGAAGTGCATCTCATACAGTGGGAAATATGGTAATTATTGAAACATTGGTAACATTGTAAAGTTAATCATTATATTAGGAATTTCCCAAAGTTTTTCATACATTTTAATCTCAAATAGTTACTACCATTATAAATTTAATCAGTGTATTAGGAATGTGCCAAAATCTTTTTTCCATGTTCATCATTAAAATAGTTCAGTTGATAGCACTGCAAGTTAATCATGTGAGGGGTGCCATAAGTCCTACATGTAGATCCCTAAAATAGTTGCAATTGACTTGTTGGTAAAGGTACACTTGTCTCTGTGCTTAATTGATTAAGCAATATACCATGATATATGGTGGAGTGGATGTATAGATCCATGTATTCTTGACCTTTACACTGGATAAAGGTGACTTTGGAGTTTTCGATAAAATACTGCAACATGCTACATATTATTACAGCACTGTTTTTTCATATGAAGGAAACATGTGGTATCCCTTCTCTTATACAGACATTTGTTTGATGGCGGTAGGATTCTCTTTATTGTACTATCATGAAATGTGGGATAGATTGATTGGAGAAGTGGACATTTAATGAACGTGAAGGTAGAAGATACAAAATTATTACACCATTTAATGTATCATTCTTATATTTAATTGAAGTATTAAAATGTTTGTTGAAGCATTTGTTGATTAGAAATTACAATTCATCTTAGAATGTAGCTTATCTCATGTGGACAGTACCATTTTCTTGATAATGAAATTAGATTTACTCGAAAATCATATATGGAGCAGTACACTATATACTGGAAGATAATAACTGTGAAAGAATTCATATCTTATGGTACCACACATTTTAAGAAGGAAGCACCAGTTTAAATTAATATATCAAAGTCAACATAACATGTTCACAAAACTAATAAAGCTCTAACTTGAATATTATTTCTGTAACTGTTAACAGTAAATAACAAGATTTTTCAGACAGCTCATAGACAATTTTTCTCTACTTAATGGTGATCAGCACTCAAAAATAGTATTTATGATCACTTACAAGCAACAGAAATCGTCTTTTGTATCCACATAAATGCAGTTTGGGATGTTAGCAAGAGTCTTTTTCTATGTGATCATGCTTCAAGTATTATATAAGGGTAAGAAAAGGAAAATACGTTACATCAAGAGTACTTACTACCTTCTGGGATGCTGAAACCACATTCCTTCACAAAAAGAAGTATCTTTTGAAAGAAATCGTGGATTGTACTGAGCATGCTACTCAATTAAATAACTGTCTACAATTCCACCCCAAACCTTAATGTTAACAACAGTTAATGATAAAAACTGAACTGAGCTGGAAAGAGAAATTACCTCTGGTTCAGTGACCACTGACACAGCCTCTTTGAGTTCCCAGCAGTTAGTAAATACTAAGGGTTTTGAATAGTTTGCAACAAAGTACCACTGCACTTCTGCATTATTCTTAGTACCCACATTAAACAAACATATTAGTATTGGGTTAATGATCAAGCTTCTGTCATGTCTTTTTGAATCTATTTCTGAATTATTAGGAATTATCACTAATGACATGCATTTGGTATTAGGCAGTTTAGAGGTGTTTGTAATTTGCAAAAAATTTGTATTATTATATCCTTAGTTTAATGAAACCTATACAGTACCATACCAGGGTACACGGTAGCGTATTTGGTTGAGGGGCAATGCTACAAGCCAGAAGGTTGAGGGTTCAAGTCCCGATGAGGTCATTGGATTTTTTTCAGTTGACCTAATCCTTCCAGCCGCACTATGGCCCTGGGGTCAGCCCAGCCTCTAACAGAAATGAGTACCAGGAATTAATTAAATAATTTTCCTGGGGAGTAAAGCGCATAAGGCTGACAGCCTTACTGTCATCTTTGAGGTGAGTGTCTAGATAATGTGGGGGCCTCAATGTCTCAGAACCCTATGGGCCTTCATGGCCTGTTACAGAAATAGCTTTACTTTTACTTGTACAATACCATACCATTCTCCTTTTCTTACCAGTACACTTATCAATCTAGCCATAATAGGAAGGAAGTGAAAGTGAGAGTCTACATTACGAGTATAGATCTGTAGATCTGTATCACACATTCATCAAGGAAAAAGTTGTAGCTCCTTTCTGTTGACACTTGCTTATTGAAGTGTGTGTCTTTGTACATTCTGCATCTGTTGGTGTTATCAGTATTGTTTTTATATGGGGATGTCAGTACTTCTACTGACAAAAGTGTGGAGCCTCCTTCCTAAATGTTTGCTGTGAACAGCCTAATGGCTGCATATACATCTAAATTGAGTACAGTAGGATTTGTACTAGTAGGTTTGGCACTTGATGGTATTTACAACAGTAATTAACAAGTTATTAAGATAATTATAATGCTACAGTATCTGTTTGCTGTGGTGCTCAAGAAGTCCCTTAAAATTAGTGTCCAAAGAAGGCACAGTATGGATTGTTACACGATAACTTCTGTGATGGTTGTGTCTTCTATAATGATCTACATTATGCTGTAAGATAATAGAAAATATTTTTCAAATGCTAAATTGACATTAATGTTTACTGGGAAAAATACTGTAGCTCAGATGAATTTAAGGAAACTCATTTGTTAGAACCCTATTAGATGCACATTCAAGCTTTGATTTCAGAGATGATTATAAAATTGCTAAGAGAAAATTCTCATTGAAATGTAGAAGAGTTTTAAATGTTATAAAATGAGTTTGATTACGTTATTACATTTTAAAACTTGAATGGCTGTTCTTTTAAACAACCGTATTATTTCTGAACAATGCATTCTTTTTTAGAGTTTCACTCTTGTAATAGAAGTGATTGAGGTGTCATCTGCTTTGCACAGAACCCACTATATAACACTGTTCTCCTAGTTCACTGATGGATCCTGGCATATGCATTCATTGCACACATCTCACTGATCCTATGGTAGACCATAATTCAGACTCTTCTTGTAGTGGTGGAAATGAACTGATTGTATTCTATAGCGTCTGAAAATCTCTGGTCAGACATTTGCACGTATTCTGGATTCACTCACATATGATATCCAATATATAATTGTGAAAAGCATGAAGCAAATAGGAAAAAGCACTAAGGAAACCTGATCCACCATTCCCCGTTGTGAACCACAGTAGAGAACCACATATTCGGCTACCATCCGGAACTTCCGTCTGGCCAGTGGTTCTGGCCCCTCACCGCCAGCAGCATGTTGATCCTATAATAAACAGACACACCATACATATTTCATATTCCTTATACAAATATGTGACTGTGTATGATACGCTCTCACATACAATAAAGAATTTCAAAGAATCTGTAGCAGAATTTTTGGTCAGCTAATTCTGGAGACTCCAAATTTTGCCTACAGCATTACAATCTGAATAGCAGGGAATCTTTTGATTAAAATAATAATGTATTACGTTTTCATTACAATTCGGAAGCAGCTAATGACATTAAAATAAAATTTGGCCCTGAGTTTATCACCGTGTCGTGAAGGCCTTCGTGGAATGAGAAGTTGAAGTTTCACATTTATAATACAAATCATTGTATTGAACGTGTCGTTCATGACGTAGTTGTGAGCACTGTTGGTTTGTGGCTGTGAGGTCCCAGTTCAGATGTTCGCTGGAGGCAATGTGTGCAGACTGAGATTCTGGTTGTCTGGTTGTCTAGGCAATGACAGAGATAACAGCCTCAAAAAAAGCTGTGATAGTCTCCCCCACATTCTTTCTAACTCCGTTGAAGCCATACATAATTCTTCCTGTTGCACTATGGCCATGGGGTCAAGTCAGCCTTTAACAGAAATGAGTACAAGGAATCTTCCTGGGGAAAGGGGGGGCGGTACATATGGCTGACAGCCTTATCATCTGTGAGCCAATTTTATAGGAAATGTGGGAGCCTCAAGTGTTTCACAAACCTGTGGGCTTCCACAGCCTGTTACAGGGATAGCTTTACCTTATAACCATCCTGTTATTTCTGCAATAGTTTGCAGAATGGTATTAAATGAAACAAAACTGTAACACTTTATAGGCCTGAATGTAAGAGGATCTCCAATTTTTCCAAGTTTAATGTTTTTAAGCATGGGAATATACAGTGCGTACAATCAAGTGCGCGCCGCGGCTGCAATTTGCCGTGAGTCATACCACCGCAGAACGGATGCAGTCGCGGGGAGTGTTGCAACTCCTCCCCGCGACTGCATCCGTTCTGCGGTNCCTAGAAAGAGCCCCCCCTGCCAGCTGGATAGAAGGCTGTACATGTAGCCAATTGAAATGATTAATTATGTATCTCTGCCTTGCTCCTTTAAAGTATATTTATTTATTCTTTTGTAGCCAGCCCTCTGCAGAATTGTTACACTTGTTTGACATACTGTAATGAAGATATGACTGCTCGTAACGTAATAACATTGAATGTTATACGGGAAACTTCACAGACTTTACTGATGGAAAGCGTCATGTCATTACAACATAGAATAAAACTTGTGTAGATTAGAAATATAAGATGTGTTATAAATACACATAACTGCAATAGAACAAACCAGACATAAGATGGAAGCATATTTACATGATAAGGTGAAAATTATCGAGATAGTTATGTGCATATAAGTGAAATTCATTATAAATATGAACATAAGATTTTCGTCTGTACCATTCACAGTAAGTGATAAGATTTCAAACGCATTACATTGTGTAGTGTACCTTATCACGGACAGACGTAAACTGGGGTGGAAGAACATGTTCTAATTTGAAGACATGTTTTTCATACATGATAATTGCGATTTTATATCCTACGTAACCTCATGTTAATTTATTAAATATAGGAATCTAGTGTTGCAAAGTTAATGATACTAGAGATATCACAATGCATGCTTTGAAATTATGAGTCGCTTGCTTAGAAAACTGATAAAGTGCAATTAATGGTATTGTATTGCTGTCATTAGAACTTACCCTAATTACTGTTGTTCGAGGTGAGGTCATCTCTTTTGCGTGGTGATCCTGTGTCTCTTCCTGGGGCATAATTTTACTGTTGCCCCCAAATAACCGTAAGTTATCCACTCTGTTGTTACTGACACGATGATGCAGCAATGGAGGTAATTGTGTGGGTCGATGGTGATTGGTAGTGTTGATGTTATTACTAGCTGCAGCAGCAGTAGCAGCTGCTGCTACTGCTGCTAATGTTGGATGAGCATTTTCATTGGGGCGTTCCCAAGTTGTTGCATTTATCCGCTCCAAGTCTTGTTTCTTGTGGCGCCAGTACTTGTCATAACGTATTCCAAACAGCACAACAAAATATTCCAGCAATGCAAAGAACACGAACAGTGTGCAGGATATGAGCCATACTTCAATGCATTTTAGTTCCAGTGCATTTGGCGAGTTATTTCTGTGAACAAAATGTTTGTTTATGTTTGAAATAATTTGTCCCAAATGCCATGCTTTCCTGAAGTGCATAACTACTTCCCTCTACCCTAGTTACTGATATGCTGCATCCTTTTAATAACAGTTATTTTATTTCTCAGGTACTATGGTTTTCTGCTGTAGTTGGTTAGTACTGTAAACAAAACACTGGTGTTTTGGAGAATGCTTTACATCAACCAACCCATAGTCAGATTTGCACCTGCACAGCTTTCCCTGTTGTCTAGTCTATAGTAACATATACGGATTAAAAATATTCCAGTAGTCAAGTAATATAAGAATCAAATATCTCACATATACATTAAATACCTCAAGATATATATTTTTTCTTACTTTTGTACCTAAATATTTTCATAATATAACTTTTGAGCGGGAATTTGTTCTAAATTAAAATTGAATATAGTCCTATTTTAAACAAATTAGTTTGTTAAAGCTTTGTTCACTGTACACTTATAAGAAGACTGGCCAGTGAGATATTTATTTGTGCTTTTTTATCAGTAGCAACCTGTTGAGTCATATCAGCTGCAGAACCCTTGTGGTGTTGCTGATTATGAGTTACAGTAAGCATATTCACCTTACTGTGTCAAACATGGTGACAAGAGAGAGAAGTGTAGTGACTAGGAGAACCATTCTGCCAGGCACCATGTCAGGAATCACCACAAAGCTTCCCCAAGACATAATGACAAACAGCGAACTTGGCAAATAGCTCTCCAGCAAGTAACTTCGCAACTCCCTCCTCATTATTATGTGCATTCTAGCAGTGGAGTGATTGCCTGTGACAAAAGAAGTCAGAAGTATTATTTCTGTTCATCTTGTTTTATATACAGGTTGATTCTAAATTATTGTTGGGGTTTACGTTCATAGGCCACAGGAACACCGACAATAATTAGAATCACCTTGCATTCTTTTAAGCTAAGCAGAGTTTGTGTCATTCATCTGGTTAGGACCAAATATATAAGTTTCACATAACACGTTTATTTTATGGATCTTCATAGCTTTTATTTAAAACATATTTCTAATTAATTCTTAATGAGATAAACCCTAAAATGTATTTTTGGCATATAAGAGAAGAGACACTTAAAATGCATTGAAGTGAATTTAAATTCACGCTTAGTACTATCTTATAATAGGAGTGTGTAACTTTGAGCTTACCCAAAATCTGTCAGAGACTCGAGATAAAGTTCATCTAGGCCCTTCAGTAAAGTTTCCAGTATATGGAGTTCCAGATTTTGTCAAGTGACCCGAAATGAGTCAAAGTTTGGCCTTAAGTAAAGTCCCGAAAATATGACTAAGAGCAGAGCAAAACCAAAATGGCCTAACAAATGTAGCATAGATCTGTTACACTGATTTTTACTGAAATAGTCCAAGTAGGACACGTAAATTAGTCCCCTTGCTTGTGGGCAGCGGATAATTCGATAAATATGACAAAACTAGTAGGTGGTGTTCAAAGTCATCCTTTTATTAACACAAAACAAATAGTAACTGATCACTAATGTGATGTGAAAGGCAAAATAATTTCTCAAACATTGTAGTATTCTGTCCACTTTGTATCCGACTACCTTCTCCATAGTGTATGATCTGGTTTTTGTCTTCCGTAGTGAAGGAGACGACGTACTTAGGTAGTCGATAACCATCCCCAAAGTCACTTGGCAAGCTTAGGGATGGGGAATGCCAACTAAAATTCATGGTTGACATGGTGTATTTATCTGGAAAAAAAAAAAAAAGACACAGGTTTGACTTTTCATTGGCGCTAATGAGTTGGAAAAATATGATTTATTCTCTTCTAAAATGAAGAAGGGAAAGGAACAAAACACAATGACGAAGTTTAGTAGCTCAAGTAGGATGATTAATATTGTGGTCTTCTGAGTTATGACACTTAATTGTTTGTTAGATAATTCAGCCTACCCGTGGGGTCGCTTCTCCTTTTTCCCCACTGATGGCTGTGATTGAGTGTTCTATCCTCCGTAACCCGTGTCTTCCCCAATGTCCATAGAACCAACTACTTTCGCAACTTGAATTGCTTGTATCTCGAAGGTGGAAACAGCATGTTACTCCGAAACATCGGTACCCAGTACCGTTCCATAATCCATAATACTGCAATATGAATGCTCACCGCTGAGAAACCTTCAGATCTTAAAAGCGGAAATATTTTTACGCTTCATATACTGAGGAGCAGGTAAAGGTTAAATGTGAACTCCCAGCAGATGCATAAAGCATAAACGATCACTGAAGGTCGCCGTGCAAGGGCCAGTCTAGGTTTACCCATTACGCATTCAAAGTAAACTCCCTGTGCTTTACTGACTAAACACCACGTCATTAAGACGTATGGGGGAATGGAGGTATGGCTCCATAATTCTTGACATCGGCTCTTGGTTGAAGCGAGTGGTTAGCTTCATGCACCGGCTGCGGAACCCCCGGGGAAAGAGTCGCAGGCAACAATAGGATAGGAGGCTTCGTGAACCCCATGGTCGGTATGAACGCTGAGGAGTACAGAAGGGTTCCGAACCTTTTTCAGTTTGCGGAGCCTTGAACGTTATACTGCGTTTTGCAGAACCTTGCGTAGGCGATTCTATATGCCGTCGTTCGAAGTAGGACCAGCATTACTAGCGAGAACTTTGATGTCATTATACACGTACATCATGATCTGCTGTAATAATTCAATTATTTATTTACTTAGGTGCTGATTTAGCAGGCCAAAGGCCAATTACAAAATAAGTACAAGTTAAAGAAACAAAACTTATTGTACACAAAAGACAAAATAAGGCAATTTGTATCCTTTAAATTATTATTATTAGTATTATTATTGACTCTAATTGGTCATTGCCGGTTGAACTCAGCACTTAAATCACTAACTCGCTCATGGAGCTGAGCCCTCCTTGAGAAGCTGCTCAAGAACTTCCCAGCGTTTTATGGAACCCGAAGATTCATGACCGTGTTCACAAGAGACCTCCACTGGTCCCTATCCTGAGCCAGATCAATCCAATCTATCCCAACCTCTCCCTCTAAGATCCATTTTAATATTGTCCATCTACCCACGTCTTGATCTTCTCAGTGGTCTCCTTCCTTCTGGCTTTCCCACCAATATCCTATATACATGTCTCCTCTCCCTCATTCATGCTACATGCCCTGCCCACCTCATTCTCTTTGACTCTTGATCATTCTAATTATACGTGGAAAAGAGAACAACTTATGAAGCTCCTCATTATGCAGTTTTTTTCCAATCCCCTGTCACTTCATCTCTCTTCGGTACAAATATTCTCAACACCTTGTTCTCAAACACCTTCAGACCAAGTTTCACACCCATACAGAACCGCAGGCAAAATTATAGCTTTGTATATTCTGATTTTTATGTTTTTAGACCGCAGACTCGAAGACAAAAGTTTCTGAACTGAATGGTAGCAAGCACTACCCGAGTTCAATCTCTTCTTAATTTCCTCCTAAATGAGTTTTGATTTGTTATCGTCGTTCCCAAATATCTGAACTGTGCCACTTTTTCAAAACATCTGTTACCTATCTTTATATTATGATTTTGCTCTGCATTTTGGTGACGAGATAACAACATATGCTTACTGTTCTTCGTGTTTACTTCTAGAGCAACCTCCATACTAGCGTCAATTGAAGTCTGTGTGTCTTTCTTTATGGTATCTATATTATCACCCAGTAGATTCACATCATCGGCATAGACCAACATCTGTTGTGTCTTATTTAATTTCAGTCCCACTTGGTTTACTTGAGATAAGGAATTTAATTGAATTATTATTACTTAATTGGTGCAATTACTTTGTCTTTATGAGGTGAGAAAAAGAGTTATATACAAATTTATTTCACATATAAGTAATATTTTAATAAATAAGAAAGTGCCATTATAAAATATAATTAAGATAAGCAGTCTTGGTCAGCACATGTTTTACTTCCACTGAGTTTCGTGAAGTTAGCAGTGCAGTAGCCTCTATATAGAATCACTGTCAGACTGTGATAGACTGAAATCCTTAGGGGGATATACTGACACGATAAATTTTGACATCAGAAAGTAGATTTCTAAACTAGTCAAATGCATTACATAGCATAAAACAACGTTCTACTTGCCGCCTACTTCTTGATAATTTCTTGTTTGGCTTACTTTTCGACTCTGAATGTGAAGGCAGTCCATCTGAAACGTCGGTTAACTTTACCGGAGTACATGGCGTTACATTCCAAAATACAGTCTTTAAAATAGTCACTGTGAGAACCTCAAAACAAAATACACTCTAGCTGGTCCACTGGTGACTTGAGTCCTGGGCTTCTTTCTCGTTCACTATAGTTAGTCCCTTTTATAAAAGTCAGGGTGTTTTATTTTAAATTTTCATCGCATTCCATCATGACGTTAGGCCTGTTTCTGGATCGTCGTTTGCTTTGTCCAATAAATTTTAGATTGGAATCGATCGGAAAATATGCGTCAAAATGTTATCCTGTAAATAAGTAATATTCAACTAGCGGTTAAAAAAAACATTTTTGTCACTCAATGTTGTGTTAGAATTAGTATTTACAAAGTAATAAAATTTAATTTTTGCCGACGTAAACAAACACGTGCTGTCTTTCTCGCTCAGTATTGTAAAGTCAATGTAGTGACTTTCTGTTCAAATTGCTTCTGTTTACACTCCGAGTAACACAATGGATGGTAGTGCAAAAAACGTAAATCTAGCATTTCCGGGGATTTTCATTTGTTCAGAATCATACATTATTTGAAAAGTGTCAGCTTTCAAATGTTGGGGCAAGAGATTGACAAATCGAAAAGAAAATTGCATTCTCTAACAAGTTTAGAGAAGATTAAATTCTGGGAATGCTTGCTGCTGTTTATTTTAGAAAGTAGTATATTTCCAGTTCCTAAATGAAAAACTGAAGATTAAACAAAATAAGAATAAATGTAATTTTGCCTTTTGTTTATATGGATGTATGTTATCTTAATGAAAGGGCACAGACTGAGGTAGTTTGGAAACAACGTTCTCAGGAGAATATTTGAATAGAAGAGGCTGGAAGTAGCAAACGACAGAGATAAGTGTACATTAGGTGCATTTGGGATTTCTTCTCTTCCTCAAACGTTATTCTTGCGATCATCTCAAGGAAGATACAGTGAATGTGAAACACGCATGGAAAATATGAGAATGCATGAAAATTTCAATCTGAAAACCTGAAGGGAAGATAATATTGATATGGATCCGAAATAAATAGGATGGATTTACCTAGCTCGGCATAGGGCCGATTAATGTCCTCTTGAGAATGCGACAGTGAGTCTTCGGGTTCCGTAAAAGGCGGGGAACTTCTTGACCACCTAATTGTCTACCAGTGGCCGCGCCATAGCTCAAGCGGTTAGTTGCTGGCTTTCCACAGCGGCGGCCCGGGTTCGATCCCGGGGTCTGGTCAAGTGGGATTTGTGGTGGAAAAAGTGGCGCTGGGGCGGGTTTTCTCCAAGTACTTCGGTTTCCCCTGTCAATATTCATTCCACCAAATTCTCCATCATCATAATCACCCGGGGCAGGCTACAACAGGCCAATCAGTGGCCGCCGTGCCGAGTGGACCCAGTTGGAATCCACCCCCCATGAAGCGAATTAAAAAAAAATGTATACCAGCTTCTCAAGAAGGACTGTTGGTGAATTTGTGTAACTAACTACAGTAACTACTTGTTAGTTTAATATTTATACTGAAGATTAATATTTTTGGAGCATGACGCCATATACACGTAGTTTGCTAGATAAGCACCCTCCAAATTCCACTACACCCAAAAAATACAGTAATATTCATTGCTACCTCCATGACAACTTCGAATATCACATATTTCAGGTATTTTCAGGCCCGGCACAAATCTGATTGCCTCTCCAGAGGACGATAAATTCCACCTCCGCCTCATTTGAAAACAGGTCAACTTTCTCAAAACATTATCGCAATTAACAACTCGAAATTTCTAGTCATTGCAGGATGAGACACGTGATTGGTGTCTGATTCTTAGGACGGTTTTATTTACATTGACTGCCGATTAATGATTACGATTTGAACGGAAGAGTAGGAGAAATTAGTTTCAGTTTAACAAAACTGTAAAATAAGGAGTTTTCCTTTCTACAGGATGCCGCCCCTAAAACTGTGCCAGCCACGCTCTCGCCCTTGTCCTGGCTAGGCTCTACAGAGGGAGATGTGAAATATTTGTCGGAGTATTTTTGACTGCTCTCTCTGTATGATGGCTGTGTTGGATTTACTGGCACATCCCCATAGTTCAATGCCGTACGTCCATATTGGTTTGATAATAGTTTTGTAAATTAGGATCTTGTTTTCCATTGTCAGTTTGACTTCCTGTCGATTAGCCAGTTTAATTCTTTGTTTTTCATTACTATCTGGTTTTTCGTTTTTTGGATATGCTCTCTCCACTTTAGTTTATTATCCAGGTGTAACCCTGGGTACTTAGCTGTGCTCTCTTGTGGTATTACGCTATTGTTGATTCGCACTGATGGACTGTCCCCATGCTTCAATCGGAATATTACATGCGGTGATTTAGCCTCATTTACTTTAACCCTCGATTTGTGCATCCATTGTTGAAGTTGATCGTAATCTTTAACATTCTTGTTTAAACATGCTTGCCATTGTTCATATTATCTGCACGTACTTAACTAAACACTGACGGACACAATTTTGTCGCTTATTTTTGTTCTGTTCTTGAAATGTTACGTGTAAGGAATCTGAGGTTCTTATGACTTTGGCAATGAAGAGTACTATCTTATGTTTCGGAGAAATATACTGCTTCCATATTCAGTGTAGAAAATAAGCTAAAATAGCAAGCTGCTCTACCCTGAAGATGGAATTTACTAGACTACACGACGTCATATTGCAGAAGAGCGGCTTTTTCTGGCGAGTCAGCGGGCTGCTTTTCAAATTCTCAGTAGCGACTTCAGTCCCTTTCTCTTGCCCACTTTCAGATGGAAAAGAAACGAAACTAGGCTTCAATACAAATATCTCATGTTTATGCAGTTAATTTTGCCTAGCATTGGCCCCAGGTGCACATGACAACCAACTGAACTAATTTTTATACCTACTCTCCATACAACGTGGGAAACTGTTACGTTCAAATTCAGCGCAAATCCATTTTCACGTAACGAATCTCGTACGTAAACCGGGTCTGACTGTGTAACCTTCGTACAGAGCTTATTTTACCTCCAATATCCGGTTAGTGTCTGGCTGCTAATAATCAGAGGTGCAGCTCCATACTTCAGAAACTTATTTTTTTACTATGCTTGTTTGCACATCTTGCGTTTACTTCTCACTATCATGTTTGAAAAAAAAATTTACGAACTGATATACATACGTTGATCTTAAATAAAGACGATGAGAGGGTGTTGGCTCAATTCATCTGTATCAAGATAAGGGTCAGTGGTAACCTCTTGTGAAAATGGTAATGAACCTTTTACATTGTGTAAGATTTGAGGCTTTCACGGCGGTGACTATGAAGAAACCAGTCTTCTGGGATTTGGCACCGTGTACATGTGGTGTGCTTTACCGTTTCTCACGGTGTTGTCGCTTGCAGAATTCTTATACTTTTTCTTCTACCCTGAAGATGGGGGCGATACGTTCCTCCGAAACGTCGGTTAACACCACATGTACACGGTGCCAAATCCCAGAAGACTGCTTTCTTCAACCTTTTACATTCCATAAAATTCTGGACATTTCTTGAACAACTGTTGTCTTCTCTACTAGGACTTCGATTCATTGAGTTGGTTAGTTCTTATGTTTACATTGTTTCTAGCATTTATTAGATAGACTCAGAAGACTGTATAACCATCTGGTAATGAAGTGTACTCACAGCTGCTGAAGTCAACAGCGCACTTCTGAACGTCCAGCGGGTACAGAACGAAATCCATATCACACTTGATGATCACAGAGGCACTGAAACACAAGACAGATACATATTACTTTAAATATCATAGTCCCTGGGGGTAAAGGGTTAAAGGGCCGCCGGCACTTAAGGCTGATAATCTCACTCTCATCTGTGAGCCGATTTTCTAGAAAATGTAGGATCCTCTCCGTCTCATAGCCCTATGGACCTCCATGGCCTCTTACAGGGATAGCTTTACCTTTCTTTGTAGTCCCAGCGGCAAGAGTCTTCTTTATCGTGTCTCACTGGAAGCATTAATATTACAACTCTGTGTGTTACTTTAAGTGCTGCCACTCTATACAAACGGGAGGAACATAAATGAGGGCCATCTCTCAAAAACTGTAGAAAGAAGGCGTATAAACATCCAGCGAATAGAAGACGAGGCAGGTAGTTGATGAAACTGAATATTTTATTGTTGAAGAGTTCCGTCTTCTGGGATATAATACCGTGTATCCGGCTGAAAATTAACCTTGTTTTTTACTACACCCGTTTACACATCTTGAGTTCATTTCTGACTGTGATCTTAGATATATTTTTGTTATTTTCTAATACTCTTCATAATCATAGCTGTGAGACCCTCAACGATAAAGGTCGTCCCGAAATCATGAGGGAATGTTCATGTTATATAGTACATGCAAGTGGGCTTTGGTTATTTCCTCGCCTTCGCTTTGTTCGAGGAAAACGAGTATGTCTTCTCATACCGAAAATCTATGGTCAACTATAGAGAAGTTTAAGTGGGATTTTTGGTGGACAGTTTTATTGAAGCAGGGTTTTTCTCGAATGTTTTGGTTACTCCTTGACAACCAGTCCTTTGACATTCGCCACATATTTATCGAACTGTGACGCGTCACGGATACCATCTGCCAGCTTATTATGATAACCTGGATCCTAAGTTTGGGCTTCGTGTCTGATCTCGCACTCCTCTTTTTGAAGGCATTAGGTAACATCGACGTTCTAAACCTTTGAGTTCCAACTTCAATATTCGGGTTTCTACATGCCATAGATACTGAAATTATCACAGACGACATAGACTGTACTATTGACTAAAGAAGTACGTTCTATTTAAAATTGAGATATTTATGAAATATGTTGTTAACATTTTCAAAGAAATGGCTGTGCCAACATTTATGTGTGGGTCAGAGTGGCGAATCCTAAACTAAACAAGAATAGAGCCGAGCTGAGAGAGTTACACTGACTCGGCTATCTCTACTCAATTTAGCAATGAAACAGACAATAACTAAGCAAACTTAACATCGTCGACAAAATAACTAAATGTCGAAAAATCAGTTCCATCACTTGCAAATAATTTCTGAAAGCGGATTTGTCAGAAAATGTTATAGTATACCTAGTATACACCAAAAGGCAGAGATGAAGTGCATGACATACCAGAGGGGTGGTAAACAAAGAGGGTAGCATATGGGGGAGTGGATATATAGATTCACATTTTCTTGACCTAGGCACTAGCTGGAGGTGAGTGGTTAGCAACTATGCTCCCGGGGAAAGAGCCCCCGGTACCCGTTGGATAGGAGTTTGGGTGGACCCCGGAGCCGGTCTGGATGACTTGGAGAAGAGGAAATTCTTGACCCTACCAGGAATCGAATTACGACCCCTCAGTCTTCCAGCCCGTAACCAGTCGCTATGCTGACTATGCTACCCCTGCTGCTTACCAGATGAGAGGGCCAGTTAGTATTTTGACCTTGCAGACTGAAGAGTCTAGTATTAACAGGAGATAATTTTGATGATGATGATGATGATGATGATAATGTAATCGTAAGTTTTATTTGTTTGTGCCACTCTTTAGAGGAGGATAGCTCAGTCAGTATAGTGGCTAGCAACGGATTAGACAGGTGGCGAGCATTACCGAGTTCAAGCCACCATGCAAGAGAATCAGACTCATGTCCGGTGGCTTCCACTGGCTCTGTCCGCGAAGGTAAAATAGTAGGGTGGGCATGGGGGTAAATATGACTACTAGCTTCCATATATTGCAATGGTAAGGAATCGCTGGAGCTATAGACCTTTGGACTTTGTTTATCATTCGGAATTCTTAAAAAAAAGAGACAAGATAACATTTCGGAAACTGGATCTGTTTCCGTCCTGAGATGAAGTGGAGACACCTAGTCTGTTGAGTCATCTAGAATGAGTTAACCTCAATCACCGAACAACTTATATCAAGGTCAAGGTCAAGGTCATGTTACAACTGACGGTCGGTCAGTCTGTCTGTCTTGGTGTCGAGCCCCAGCTGGGGCTCATGACCAGATATTTCTTTTGAATGAAAGTTACTGTCTTGTCTATGTGTAGCGCCCTCTCTGACGAGAGGTCGGGTCTGTCATTTATTAGTACAACTTATGTCACTATAACTACAGCTACATAAATAACCGAGACCAGTCTCTGTCAACGGAAGATAGCAAGAAAATGTTCAATAAAAATTGCGATAAAGAACACACAGACTTGAAACTAAGATAAGAAAAGGGTTGGAAATTTTATACAACAAACCTAGGCCAACAACAAAGTCCACGAAAACCATTACAAAGGATTACTCGTAATTGGAGAATTTTATATTGTGAAATAATTTGTGCCTACCCCTAGCGCCATCTATGGAATGAGAACGGAACCCTCGGAACTAGAATACATGAAGAATCTGTCATCATACTGATTTTTGCTGTCAGTTGCTAACCTCGTGGCTGATAACGGAAATCCAAATAGGAGAAAGGTCCAGATTGGGTTGACTGATCGGATAGTTTAAGCATGCTATATGGGCCGATTCCATTAGAATCTACAAGCAAAGCTAAATTTGCTCTACTTGTCTGGCACTGAAGATAAAGAGAATGTGATCATCGGAAACGTCTATGAACTCCTACCATCCAACAATAGCCACCTCTGTGAGAACCTTACGAGACACAGGCTTATCAAACTATTTCCTCTAAGTACGTGCACTAGGAGTGGAGGGCTGTTTGTGGTCCGCGAACCTGGAATTGTCCGGTCATGGGTTCGACGCAATAAGTAATGCGTTTTGTACTGGGCATATGGTAGGCCTTGACAATACAATATACTGAGCTATGCCAAACTTGTGAGCTCAGTCGGTAATCCTTCTGTCTTACGTTTTGGTGGTGCCCTGTCGGATTCTTGGCCGGGGCACTGATTTTCCGAACTGTTCCGTAGTTTTCCTACGTCACTCTACCACTCGATGGTACATAGCATGAGAGACTGCCAGCGTCGTTAAATAAACGGTAGATACAAAAACTCTGAGTTAGACTGAGTCCTGATGGGAGACTGTATAATGTCTGTATCCATTTAGTACAACTTTTCTTTCCGTCTGTGGGAACAGTGCAACATTCATTGTGAAAAATCCGACCGTGTTTTCAACGTTAAGAGATATAGCTCTGCCTGTAATGCAAAGGGACAGCGAAAAGAAGTGAAGCTGCGACCCGAGAGGGGAAGGAAAAGGAACAAGCGAAGTTTTGGAACATTTCAATGCCCGTCCCTATTCAGAAAGAGAGCCACCTTTCGAGACAGAGGGTCAATGATTCTCCAGTCAGTGGAGTGACTACTTATGAAATGGGCACTTGTGGTTAAATTTCCTTCAGGTTCGCTGGTAATTTATTTCTTCGCTACCGCGCCCAGATCCGCTCTGTGTCATTACGGGCTCCTTCGAACGGGAAAACAGTCGGGAGCTTGAAGAATGAAAGTCATCACTTGTCTTTACCTAAAACAGAACCTCAGAATACATGGAGGTCTAATACCACGCCCCTTCTATGTTTTGTGGCGTGAATCCTAACCACGGGGACAAATGCACTTTTACTAATGTCCTGACATTGGTTTGCGGGATTTCGCAATGAGTAAAAAATACCTGACGTCGGTTTCAATGGAGGAATATCGGATTACCATAGCTACTAATTACTAGGACTTTAGTGGAATTTCGGTCGATTAATTTTGCGACAAAAACTAGGATGAGTTTTGAAATCGATACAGCAGAAATTACTTAGTCCTATATTGTTAAATTAAATTGTTCTTACATCTCTCTAATTAAAAGTCTTGCGGAAGTTATTCAATTACGTAAAATACCCACGAAACTTCGCCAATTAGAAATATCCGAACTCGCAGTTTCTATTGTTAGCAGTGAAAGTATGAAGATTCTACTTTCTGGTCGATGTTCGTTTTGTATGATACGTAATTTTACACTTGGTGGGGTACCAATGGACCTACTGCTGTCAGAATAATGGAATGTTCTTCAAATTGCGGCCTCATGCTGGCACTCCTACATAATTTACAAGAAGAATGGAAAGGTGTAACCGAGCAGGTTGCTTCCCTTGCATTCTGGAGGCGTTCGTTTCTTCATTCCCATTGAATATCTGCTATCCTGACTGAGATTTATTTCGTGGTGTTACTCCGTTCCTCCAGAAAATTACCTGGATAGCCCAAGATCGCCTAATTCCAAATCTTTCCCAATTCATTGTTCACCTATTATTCGAAAATTCTTAGCGCCTTAAAGCAAAGCATAAAATAGTACTACTGTAATGAAGTGAAGGTAAAGGCAAAGTTCTCTCTGTACTTAACTAATTAAGCACTACGCCATGAAGACGTATGGGGGGAGTTGATATATATAGACCCATATTTTCTTGACCTCGGCACTAGCTGGAAGTGAGTGGGCAACTTCACGTCGCGTCCGCTTTACCCCGGTATCCATTGGATAGGAGGCTGGGTGGGCCCGAGAGCCGGTCTGGACGCCGTGGAGAAGAGAGAGTTCTTGACTCTAACGGGTCTCGAATTCAGACTCTTCCGTCGTCCAGCCTATGGCCAGTCGCTATATCGACTACCCTATCCCGGCTCCCAGTAAAATTAAGTACACGTTACTCAGCTGCGCTGGTTCCAGATTTATTTCTACAGATTTGATGTTCATTTGTTTTAAATTTAAATACTATTCTTAAGTGTATTCATTTTATAGCCTATTGAATCCATATGGCAGATATGAACCTTAACAGTTCGAACCTAACAACAACCTGCCTGTCTAGTA